AAACTTTAAATATAAAAGCAAGGTTGTTTGTTTGTTCCTAAAAGACTGGTGCCTTCAAATTGATTGGATTGACGGAGTAGTAACTGGTCAAGAGAAAATGATGTGCATATCAAAGTAAGGCCAGAGAAAAGAAAATTTTTGACTTTTGTGATGGATCCAATATCAATTTTAATGAGAGTGAAGGAGGATTTTGAGAGCAGAATTTGTAAGTACTAACTAGTGAGTATATTTCAAAGCTATCAGAACGTCTTGAATAAGATTCGATGAGGATGAAGTTAGAACTGAAGATCCTCCTCTCATTAAATGAATGAGGGCCTCATGATTCCTTACCTTACCGTAAAGACCTTGATCGATTGACGATTTTATTAAAAAATTCTTATATAGTTTACATTGCAAGAGGTCCTGATTACGAAAGCGCGATCAAGATAAGCGACAATCTGATTGCTTGCAAATAACATCATGTTCGCAGTGAAGAGTGTGAGTTAATCCATACCAAGAGGGACGAAAAACGCAGGAAAAAAAAATTCACTCAAGTGAAAATGGAAATTTATGCATACGTACAAAAGTGAATAAAGCTTAGTAAGAAGACACTCGTCCTATGCCCTAATGGCCCAATGGGAGTTTATTGTTATAAAGGGTAAGATAATAACTCTCGAAATGCTCTCCAGGTGCGAATATGCAAGCATCTCGTCCTGCGTGTGGCAAAGTAAAGGTGTTTATTAGGCAGTGAAAATTAAATTACCACTGGCAAGGCGAAGAAAAATGTGCCTGAAGAGCTCACCTGAGGCAAATCTTTCATCCCAAGTTGGTAAACGAAAAAGGCGCGAGTGAGGAGATTGCTGATCTGAAACGGAAAAACAAATAGCCGGTGGGGAAGCGAAATAAGACAAAAATGGCAAAAGAAACACCAATAAATATGGGAAAAAGGAAAATGAGGCGGAAAACTAGCTAAGTGATGTAAGATTGAGCTAGTCTGTGAGTCCAGTCTAGGAGAGAACGCACACTATCGGTGGCTTGGCGTAATTAAGGTGTCAAACAATAGTGGACATGAAAGAATGTCTGGCCTCGGAAATGAATTCCGTTCAGCAAAGCCAAAAAAAGTGTCTCCTTACATTTCCTTAATTGCCATTCCGACTATGTCTAAGTACCATTAACATCCTTTGGGCTGACAGATTCTAAGATATCAACTGAGTTCAAACGATTAAGTTACCACTCATGACTGACTTTAAGGTCGACATAACATTTTATACCTACTATATGGAAGTGGCGTAAGCAAACATGCGCTTGCCATTCAAATCGAATCGCCATTTCGTGCAAATGACAATTTCATGTTGAAGCATTATGTATTAGTTTCCTGAAAACTATATTTGTAACTAGGAGTACATGTTAAGCCCACTGGGTGGATTGATTCAAGAAAGTAATGATGATAGTAACATTGAAAAAGAGACGAAAAGAAAAGCAGTTATGTGGGCCTTTTCTAACGATTAATTGGCTCTGATCCGAGTGATAGTCGGAAACCAGCTGGAAAGAAACTTAAAGCAGATTCTAACATTATAAACAGTCTTGAAAATCGGCAGGGCATACTGTTTGGAAGGTTGTGGAGGAAAATAAAAAAGAACCATCAAATATATGGTAATGTGAAAATGTATCTGGGAAAGTGTAACTTTAAGCAAAGTTATTGTTTATAGATCAGAGCGATAAAAGATAAATGAAATGAGTATTGGAGCTGGTAGTCAAACTATACACAATGAAAATGGCCTCTTAGACAATTTTGCTGTATCAAAATGTGATAGTTAAGCTGTTCAAGACGAGAGGAGAGAGAGGCTTTCCCATTTCATTGAATCCAACTGCTACTTGCCTACTAAATGGCTTCCTTGATCGGGTTAGGCTGCAGTTTTCGCCTCTCTGAGGGGATATGAGCCATTATGAGTACCTGAGGTAACAACAGGTCGCTTTCGAAGTACACAGGCCTACCAATATTCGCATTTTGCTAGTGAAACGCCAGTAGCATGCAAAATTATCTGAACACAATAAGTACCGTAGGAAAATATAGTGTTCACAATGAAGCTTGTGCCCGTTTTCCGCGGATGTCGTCGTGCTCTGGTTTGATAAAATCAAATTATAATTAAGAGAAGAGGGACTTGGTCCCTATCCCCAAAGGTTAATATTTAGCCGGATTCTATTCAAACAACAAGTAAATCGTTCAGAATAGTGGGTTTCGAGTATGACCTCAAGATGGCCACCAACCGCATCAAGCCTCCAGATGGAAGGAGCTTACAAGAAGTTTCTGCCCACACGAATAACCCGAAGGGCGATTTCAACAGTCGTTCAGCCCGGCTGCAACTTAGCCAGTTGAATGACATAAAATGGCAATAAACTGATGGCAGGCTTAACATAAATAGGCTCCACAATTTTAATCTAGGAGCAGCTCCGTGGAAGGTGGCATAGATTGAGAGGGCTGTAGCAATTAAGAAAAATTTCGGGCTTGAGTTGTATGCTCTTCACGAAGTGGATGGCAAAGGGACAATGAAAATGGCACCAAAGTGGAGTGGGTGCAAAATACACGAACCTGAAGAGCAAGCGCCACGAGGTTGGCCGCGTCTGCAGAGCAGAGGTAACGCACCTCATCATGGATGCTTATCGCCAGCCTGGCGGGCAGATTGTACTCCTCGATAAGCCAGGCCATGCAGGCGAGCAGGCAGTGTAGATAGTCGACGGCTGAACTTTGTACCACCCAGTTGATTCGGCTAGGCAGAAACTGAATTTGCATAAGTGAAAGCCTTGTAGAAATGGCCGAAAATATGCTATTTTAGTCGAGCCATCTGGGGCCCGAGGACATTAATAACGACAGGGTATACAGGGAAGCATTTCAAATGGTATCTAAGGCTTAAATTAGATAGTTATATGTAATATATTCACCCTATTTCGCTTAAGGTGATGAAGTACAAGTATTGTTGAGGAAACTTTCATTTCGTATGAAAGTGCATGAAGAAGAGATTGGTAGGTCGATCTCACCAGAAGAGGACGGATGAATCCCGTTGTACTACAGCCGTTTGGCTTTTATACGACGTTCAGATTGACGCCGCCCATGAGACCTCTTTTCTCTTTTCGACCTACGAATCTCAACTTAATACACTTTCAAACAAAATGAATGTCCCCAAAACAATGTTATTTCAGGATAAGATATGAAGGCCAAGATGGTGTGGCCTCTGGTATGGTCGCATTTTCATATTTTCAATTAAAGTACGGTAGTAAAATTGCCAAACAATACACTAAATACAGTCGGAGAAAGAAGACAATTGTAAGTCAATCTTCCCATCAGACTTTTTTAAACTGTTGTAAACGTTATGGTATAACTCATAAGTTCTGTGATCTTAAGAGACCCTACCACTCGGATAAGGTTAATGACTATCTCCACCAGGCTTCTATTCAGAAACTAAGTAA